TCATTAATTTATTTTTTATAATAAATCAATTAATTAGTATTTTCTTGTTTTTTTAATTTTTTGTTTTTGGCATATAATAAAGCCATGAAATTTATTTATTCTTTAATTCCTAATTTTTTTTACCGAAATATTCGAAAATAATTTTTCAAATTGATATTTATATTTTACTCAAACTTTTTAATAGCACCTACTTTTTTACTCCTACCGAACCATGAATTATGTATATGTGTTTACAAATTTGTCGAAAACTCCTAAAACGTGTCAAAAATTTTAAGGTGTTTTGAACAAATTCTTAACAAACTTGGAATTTTCACGAACGACATTCATTTAGACAAAACGAGCAGTTAGGTACCACAAATAAAATACTAAATTTTGAAATAGACGAATATTTAAAATTACTCAGAAACTATTTGATCGATTTCTTTAAAATTTTGTATTTGTTACTTGAAATTACTAATCTAGAAATAATGCCTATTATTAAATAAAATAATAAAAAAAATTAAATAATCATTCAAAATTAATTTTTTTACTTGAAATTAGCATTTCATAAACGAATTTTTACAATTGCGTGAAAAATATTTCAAATCTCTTAATAGTGTCCTAACGTAAGGCAAACTACGCCCACAAAAAAAGAAAGAAAATAACATTAAACATTAAGGAGTCCAAACTTAATCCACTTTTTACACATTCAACTCGATCAAATATTTTTAACTATTACCTCCTTAATATATTTTTTTTATAATAAATCAATTATTTAGTATTTTCTCATGCTCAATCAATTTTCTTATGCTTTGATGCTCAATCAAAGAAATTACGGTTTTGCGTCTGATTTCGTAACTTAAAATATTGTCTGCTCTAATTAATTATCATATATAAGGTAATACGCCTTCCAACAATTAAAATTGTATCCAAGTACGTTAAAAATAGATGATCAGATCAAAAGTTTATCTGGGTTTTCTTTTTTTTTGCGCTAAACTTTATAAAAAATTCGAATAAATAAATAAATAAGAGTTTACATTGCGTTCATTTACTGCAAATTACATTGTGTTCGCTTACTGCAAATTGTCTTTGAAAACTCGGGGTGGGGATTAATGGACAATTTGCACCCCTCCATCAACTGTTTCGTTAAAAGAATATATAGTAACACACTAAAAATAATGGATATTCAAATTTTATGAAACTGTTTTCGTATTTTTACGCAAACATTTCCTGGTATATGCTCCGATCAAAATTTTGTCAAAGTGACGAAATAACTATTTCCATTTCCTAGTTGGGAGGAAATGAATTTTTTTCAAAACTAAAGAAAGCTTTAATTTATTTACTTTATTTTTCAAAAAAAAAGTAGATCACTTTTTCATGTGAACCATACAAATGAATCAACGTCACTTAAACAAGGACTGATGGAACGGAGAGACCAAAGTGTGGCCAACGCAGCACCAAAACATAACAAATTTAATAAAAAATAAAACATACGAAGCTAAAAATAGAAAATTAAAATTCAGGAAAACTGCAGGAAAAAAAACACAAAATATAACATATAACGCAAGTAACAAATTCGAATGTATTTCAAAAATGATTTAACACATTTTCGCAACAAGTTAACAAAATTTACCTTAGATTTCCAGATTTATCTTAGTTACCTTGGATTAGCCGGAAAATAGATGTGTGCAAGATAATAATATTATTCTGGATAATTCAAAATTTATATTTAATAAGGCTTAATTTTATTTTTGGAACTTTAATTATGATGATTTTCAGAAAAATCATTATCATTTAATGAAAAAAAATTATTGAAAATATTCTTAATTAAGTAGAAGATTTTTTAGCCACGGATTGTCCATGATAAAAATAATTTTTTTTTAGCAGATACATTTTTAATATATTCATTATATCTATAACATGCGATTACTTCAATGATTTTATTAAGATCATAATTTTATTATTTAGAAAGCCATTGTTTTTTTGTAATCAAATTTTAGAGGAGTCAGACTGTTTGTTTTTTCGATCAATAAACATTACTGTAAATTCTTTAAGTTCATTAATTTGATTAAAAGTGGTATTTGGAATTGTAATGTGACCAAGAGTATAAATGCACTTAGAAACAATGCAATTCGACGTATTTAAATTTAAAATTTATACTTTTATCGTATAAGTCGGCAATGCAGATATTATTTTCTTTTTTAATACTTAAATCAAAAAAAATTATAACGAATATAATCGTCATAAAAACGAAGCAAGATTAATTCCTAGGGGTAAACATTTCCTGGTATTTCCTGCAATTTAACAAAATTGTATCATCTTGAAAATATTTGTTAATTAAATATTTGATAATTAAATACTCAAAAAATTTAAAAACAAATTTAATACAAAGTTTATAATTTTTTTTAAGTTAATAATTTTTTTTTTAAAAAGAAGTTAGCTAGAAGTGATGAAATATTTGAATTGAAAGTGATGAAAATTGATTTGGTATTTCACGTATTAAAACGAAAAATGTTTTTCATTGTAAAGATAATTTTAAAAAAAAGACAAATATTAATTAGAATTTGCCATCAATCAAAATAGCAATTAAAAATGTTTTTTTTTTTTTAAATCATGCTAATAAGTCAAAACAACATGTTTTATTTCGGAAGGGTGAATGCTATTGAAGAGATCTTGGAAAACAAAAGTCGCAATAGAATTAATTTTATTTTGTTTAATTCTAAAATTGGTTGCTTATTAGTGATAATACAAAAAAAACTATTATCTTTAATAATATTGTTAATAATTTTATTCAAGTAGTTGGAGTAAATATTGCCAATAATTTGTAAGAAAGTATTAGACAGAGAAGTAATTGTTCTAAATTTAATAGAAATTTTATGAAATTTTGGATTAATTTAAGTATGGAAATTGTATATTATTAATTTTAAGTTTTAACCTCGTAAAGAAAGTCAAAACTTTTTTAATACTATTATCTAAATTACGAAATTGAAATCTTTTACAATTTTACGAGTATAACTCCTTATTTTGTTCAACAAGGAATATTTTACAGAAGATTCTATAATTATTGTTATCTTTGTCTATAGGGGTAATTACAAAATTTTTCGTTTGTTGCTTAATTGCTGTAAAATTCAAATTAAATTACTGAATTGTCACTGTCACTTGCATTTTATTTATTATTAAAAATAAAGTTATTAAAGTATTAAAAAAATAAATAACCGATTTCCATTTTCTTAAGATACCTAAAAATAAAGAGAATCTATTTAATATCTTTAAACAAATTAAGAAAATATTTTTGAAATTTATTAATAATTATATGGTAAAAGAGTCTAAATTGTGTACTTTTTTCATCAAATTCCTAAGTTCCAAATTTTTTATAATATTTAAATTTTAGTAATAATACATTTATGAAGTTTACCAACAAATTCAAAATAGTCATCTTCATCACAGTGACATTCATTATCGGATAGATTAATTTTCTCTAAATTTTGATAATATCATTATAATTAAAAATAGTTCTACACTGTTAGAAATTTCTCGGTAAAAATGGTTAAATAACAATTTATTGAATGGTTATTTTACCATATTTAATCATAATAGTCAAATAACCATCAATAAAAAGGAAATCAAACTGTTAAGTTTCAGAAAAACTGTTTATTAACTGCTTTCACCTAATAGGGTTAAACAACCAGAATTTAATCGCACCAACTAGAACCACCTAACGGAGCTACCTAGTTCTTTGCAGCTGCGTGCATATCATAACCGAGCGGGCAGAACTGGAGTTCGAGTTCTTGTGTTGATACCGCAATATTTCTACCATTCCATTCAACACATGGAGGATTTCCAGTATCCAGTACTCTCCAATGTCCATTACCTTACGAAAAGCCGAGCTCCTATGTCTAGTTAAATAATATTTTTTTTTTTACGTTTTTGAAAAATGCTAGTTGTAAAAGGTTAAAAAACCATATAGTTTTGTATTTATGGTTTTAAAACTATACATTTTGTAAATGGTTTCAAAACCATAAGGGGAAAAAATGTTCTTTACCGTAAACTTTACGGTTAATCGGATGGACAGACAGTTGCCAGTTATTTTACAGTAATTTTAGAATGAAAGTTTTAACAATGTACTTAGAGGTTCTCCATATTTATAATTTTTATTTAGGTCATAGCCTTTTTATGTAAATTTTTTTTAAAACTGTCTATTATGAAATTTAATCATATCAAAATAGGGTTTTGTTATCCAACGTTATCCAAATTTTTTTTATTCAGTGAAATTTCACTCATTTCGGCTTTCATAAGATCGAAGCAAAGAATTTCGAAGCGTAAATTAGTAAAAGAAATGTACTAAATAAGATCTTGGAGATGATAAATATTATTATCTCCATTGGAACGAAAATACAACGAATTAGGTAAAAAATTTTAAATAAAACATACCAAGGGGAAAAAAATGCAAAATTAAACACAAAATGTAAGATACAAAGCGAGTAGCGAATTCAAAAGTACTTCCACTTATTGACATCTTTCAAAAATGATTTAAAATAATTACGTAACAAGTTTGTCAGATTGCAAAATATTCAAAAATTTTCCCGTCTCTTAATTGAGCATGTATTCGGCATCAAAGCACCGTCTATGTTAGGACATACATTCTTATACATATACATTCTTAACGTATTACTAACTACTCAACACTACTTAAATATGAATAACAACACTACTTAAATTATTTATAAATAATAACTATAATGCTGCCAATAGATACTGAAATTCTACAAGTGGTGACACATGAGAAAAATATACATTAATTACATTCATTTATTTTCAAGCAATTAGACTGACTAAAATTTAAATTTTTTTTGTTTATTTCTATGTACCATTTTGTAACTACACATTTCTTAATAAAGAAAATGAGACAATGATATCATTAATCTCAATTTTCAGATTAAAAATATCCAAAATATACTTCTTAATGAAGTATTTTTGAAAAGGTACTGATTATAATGAAATACGAAATTTAATTTTTATACCTGGATGATGTTAAACTAGATCTGTGTCTGTAAGATGCGAGCAGAATATAAAACATAAAATAGTATCTGACACCCTTAACAGCTTAGGTAAGATATTTTTTTTAATACGTGTGGACAATCAATCAAACAATTATAGAATGGAATGCTTAATGTTCGATAAGATAAAGACAAAGAAAGGTTAAAGGCTGATAACTATACCAAATCAGATAACGGTCTGCTTGTTTCCATAGAGATATTAAAGTCACAAAATTAAAACAAAAATTATACGATTTTAAAATATATTATACATTTATCAGATAAATTTATCTTTTCGGTTTCTATAGTATTCTTTTTATCAATTTATTTTGACTAATTTTATTTTGACTTACTCAAGTAGCTTAATCAAAATCTTACCGAAAAATTTTAAAATGAAAACAAGAAACAGAAAATTATATTTTCTTCAAATAAATATTTTTTCTGCTTTAATTGTTTTATAGTCAACTACAAACTATGCATATATTTATGACTAATTGCAGCATCTTTGTTCTATAATTTTTATGACACAAATGAGCTTACACTTCAAAAAATTCGGGTCAAATTGCGTTAAAAAGGTGCTGGTGCTCTTTAACGTAAAATACATTTTACTAGGATATATTACTGAACAAAATTCTGATATACAGTAAATTTTACAGTTATAATTCAAAATCATAAAATCATCATCATAAAACCGTAAAATCATTGAATAACTTTAATCAAATAAATATTACTGTACAAATGAATTTTACGATATAAAGAAATTTACGGTAAAATGAATTTTAGGGAGGAGGCACTAAAAGTGCTAGTACTTTATATCGTAATTTTTCTGGAATTGTTTACAGTGTAGGGTATACTTTGTTCAACGTAACAATAAAGCGAACCAACATGAATAAAGCACAAACCAAGGTATATAGATGGACTTCTAGAACCGTTCTCGATGTCTAAACTCAAAATATAACGCTTTTAGATACTGTGTTTAGGTACTCTACACATTTAAGACAGGACTGAAAAAGAAATTTTTTTAAATTTAAATTCTAGATACAATGAAGTACCACTAATTAATCAACTCAAAATGCGAATCAATTCAAGCACTTAAAATACAGTCAGAAAGATTAGTATTGCAAAATGTCCAAAGAAAAATATCATGAACGAATTTATGTTTGGTTAAAGATTAAATTCATTTAATTTAATCTAACTAAATTTTTCTTTCATATTAAATACTTAGACAGTTTCTGAACATTTGAGTTCCATAATTTGTTATCTATCGCTTTAAAAGAATAGTTTAAATCACTTCGGAAAAACTAGACAACTGAATTCATAACTAAACAGATTATTCGCAATTGATGTTTCAATAGTTAGACAAAGTAGAATTGTGTATGTCTAATAACATAGAATGCGAAATATTCTGGATCAAATCATACTGTAATAGCTTATTAAGCCGGGTCGCACAAACTCTCTTCACACACATAGTATCCCCAAGAGATTTTGAGAGCGCTGATTGGCTTTCTCGGCAACGCCATCTGTGACGTATGGCTATTTCATTCTGCCGTGCTTGTTATTTTCATCATAGAGCGATTTCTATACTCCAGCTTTTGTGTACAAACTTGAAATGTCAGTTTCTAAAACAGAGAAACTGCCTTCTTCATTTAAAAATGAAGTAGAATATATTTCCTCAAATACCATGACCCTTAGAAGCAATGTTCTAAATTTAAACGATTGCAATAAGTGGGTAATGCAATTTAGAGAACTTACCAATACGAAAAGGAATTCTAGAACTTCCGAACCTCATGGACAAAGATTTGTTTGTAGGTAAGTAACTAGTTAGTAGTTATTTAAGAAGAATTTTGTTTTTATTTTTTATGGGAGAATTGCTTTTTTCTAAATTTATGATTATAACATACATGAACTCTTATGAAGCTAATATCCCTCTGATTTATTGAATAACATTGAAATCGGAGTTTAATTGCCTTGCTTAATTCTTATACTCACTTAAAATGAAAACTGAATAGTTTTCACTTGATATTTATTTAATTAATTTAATGTTCATCGAATTAAATTAATATTTTATTTATTTCTTGTGGATTACTAAAATTAAATTATAAAATTTTAAATTTAGGATTTATTAGTGGCGTCATCTATTATTATAAATTACAACTAAAAGATCTGCATTATGCCTACCTATTTATAACTTAATTTTAATGTTTTTTTTTTTTTTTTTTTTTTTTTTTTTTTTTTTTACATTTGTTAAATGTTTTATAATACCGAAAAGCTATCAATTGACATCTAAGAAGTCAAGCAGTTGTCTTTTAAGATGCTTATTTCATTAATTTTGATTGCATAATTCCCATAAAAATAAAAGTTAATGATTATGAATTGTCCATTAAACTAATACCATGAGTAATGAAAGAATAAATTAACAAAAAATTCCATCTTTTAATTCTAGTACATATCTATTGGACTGTAAATATTTTTTTATTATTTCATTGCAGAAAATTATTTGTTTGTCACCACAGTGCGTTTAAGAAAGTGCCGCAGGAGAAATGTAAAAGAAGTTTTTCAAACAATTCTGATTGTCAAGCAATAATATCTATAAAATTGAAGTTGAACAAAAAATTAACAAGGAAATCAGATTATTGTACTTTATAAACTTGTTATATGATACTTGCTAGAAAATAAATTTTATTAATTATAAATATTCTGAAATTTTTTTGCTGAATTATAATTAGTAATAATTTTGTCAATGATTCTATCAGATTATTATGACCTGATAGAGATGGTTCTGAAGATGTTTTGATTTTTGTCAGTGATGCCGCTCCGTATATGGTCAAGTTTGCAACAGCACTGGAAATTTTTTATCCCAGAATGCTTCATATTACATGTTTGGCTCATGCTGTTCACAGACTGGCTGAGACTGTTGGAGAAGTATTCTCCTCTGTGAATGATTTAATTTCCAGTATCAAGAAAGTTTTTCACAAGGCACCTGTGCGCATAAAATTGTGTAAAGAAATGTATCCTAATTTGCCCTTACCTCCACAGCCTGTGATAACTAGGTGGGGTACATGGATTGAAGCTGCACGTTTTTACGCTAATAATTTTGATGCAATAAAGTCAGTTGTAGATGCAATTGACAGTTCCTGTGCTTCTTCAGTTTATGTCACAAAGGAATTACTACAGGATATCTCTTTGCAGAAGGACTTGGCCATAATTGACACTCACTTTTCTTTCTTAAGTGGAGCAATAACAAAGCTCGAAACACGAGGTCTTCCCCTGGCTGAGGCCATATCCGAAATTGAAAAAATTCAACAGTGCATCAATGCTCTTCCAGATTCCAGAGCAAGTAAAACCAATGAGTACGAAATATTACAAGTTTTGTCCAATAACATTGGTTGACGTGGAGAGGTCATTTTCTGCTTTCAAAATGATCTTTGATGACCGACGACATCAATTCACCCTTGAAAATTTGGTAAAACACTTAGTTGTGAATTGCAACAAAAATTATTCAGTTTAATAAAATCTTTCCGGAAAATGTGATGATTTTTCTTCTCTCATTTATCATACTTCAGATTTAGGCTTTTTCTTCAGAAATGTGTAGATTCAAGTAAGAAATATTTTGATTTTCTTCCTTTTAACAAAAAAATGCTTTAGCTGTGTTTGTTGGAAAAAGTAAGTAATAGTATTTAAATAAGTTGAACTTTTAATTTCTATTTTAAATGCATATTTCTAGTTTTAAGAGCATATATTCCAGTTTTTTAGTGCATATTTTGTCCGTTTTTAGTGCATATAATCCGCTGTCTAACAATTATATTTTTTTTAACACTTTAGAAATTTTCCTCTAAGATACGATAAAATCTTTTTCAAATAATCAAATATAGTTTCAAAAATTTATTTATATACATTTATTTATATCAATTTTAAAATCTCATATAATAAATTCAAATTTAACTTAGTGGTTCTGCAATCATACTAATAAATTTAAGTAAGAGATTTTAATTTCTAAGTGCATAGGGATATTCATAATGCTATTCAATTTGAATATTAATCAATTCTTATATATATTATATAAAGTTAGCTGATAAAACTTTAATTTATGTTTAATAATTATAATTATACTAATTTGATGTTTCACGAAGGCATGATTGTTTATCTTGTATTTACCTAAAATTCATAGCATTAATATTAAAAAATATTACAATTAATGACGGTATTTAATTTTTTGAACAAAACTTAAACATTTGTCTTAAAATGAGTATGAGAAATATACTGGAACTGATTTATGATTGATTTACATTTTGGGAACAAACTACAGAGAAATGTTATTGGGGAGGAGCTACAAAAAGACGTAACAGAATGCAATGCCGAGAAAGCCAATCAACGCTCTCAAAATCTCTTGGGGATACTATGTGTGTAAAGAGAGTTTATATGCAGCCGGATCTTAATATTATCATATATAAAGAGTTTGGTGGTACACTGTAAAAAATTATGGATCAAATTCCGGACCGGCACTTTGTGTGCATTATCCGTAAAATCCATTTTTACCCTGAAATATTATACCGTAATTTTTACAGTTATATTTATTTAAATAGAGTGATTCAGTGAATTTACGGTTATTATCACTGTAAAAATTACGGTATATCAAATTTTTTGTTCCGTAAACTCCGTGAAAATGGGATTTTATTGTAAACAGTACCGGCAATCTGACTGCAGGTATTTTTAACCGTAATTTAATTCGGAATTTTTTACAGTGTAGAAGTAGATAATTGACATTTTTAGGGATATTTATTAATTGCTGAAAGTAATATACTAAGTGGTTGCTTGAATATAAGTAAATTTGATGCATCAGAAATGTTTCTGCTTTCCCTTTAATTTTAACATTACTAATCTACATACGTTTTGAGTATGCTTGCATGTTTTTCATTTTAAATTAGTACTGGTAAATGAAATAAAACAAATAATTAAAAGCCTCGCCGGCTGAAAACTCGATAATAATATAAATAGGATATCACTTTTTTTTCTTGCCTTTATTATAGCGACTCTGAAAATGTCACGTGCACGGTTGTCCCACTAAACTCTTCATACGTCTAAGCATTAATTTAATGAAATTAGTTTCGATTTACCCCTTTAATGGTAGGTATAACAACAAATTATGCAGATCTAATTTTTAAACTAATCTATTTAATATCACATTTATGCAGCAAATTGAATATATTCAATAATTAATTTCATTTCCTCTAGATAATTGTGAATAAAACAATGAAGGCATGTTAAAAAATTAATTATCATATTTATCTATATCTTTATTGGTAATATTTAATATCTGAATTATATTTCACACATAAAAAGGAAATAATGTATAAAGTTTTATTTAAAAAAAATGTCTCATCCCTCTCTACAATTCAACCAACTATCTAATATCACCAATACAGTAATGAATCATTAATGGTCAACTTACACTGGTTTCTTTTGTACTTTTTTTTCTACAGAATTTGTATTTCATTAAAATCTTGCGTTGATTGAAACTTAAAGAACTTCTGTTCGAAAATTTGAAGCATAATAGCAACAAGATCATATTTAATAAAAACTTGGATAAAAAACATGAATAATAACATTACACATAAATAATAACAGCATACATAAATAATAACATTATACATAAATAATAGTAATATTCATAAACAATAACATCATACATAAATAATAACATTATAGATAAATAATTACATTATACTCAAATAATAACATTATACATAAATAATAACATCATGAATATTGTATTAACATGAAAGAATATCAACATGAAAAAACAGAATCTATTGTTTAGTTCTTCGTTTCAAGGTAAAAGCATCTGAATTTGAGCAGATCTTTATTATCTGGAAGCAACTCTATAATTTTTGTGTTTTGTTATTTTTTAATGTGAATATTTTCAATATGGATATTTTAATATGTTTTTTTTTCAATTGAGTGCTGATGTGTTAAGTAGTATTTTTAATTGAAACTTGTTGCAGAATCACTTAACTTAATTAGAGTCGAATCAATTTAAATTCTGCAAAGATTTTTGGAAAGGCAAATATCATTTAAAAATAAATCACAATTTTTACATTCTTCTAATATCCAAGGGAATTAAAATAATTTGAT